CACTTATTGTATGGTCTCTTAACGTGCTAGTGACCCCTGCTTTTCATATGGGGGGATGGTGCATCGTCTGCCAAGTCTTTTGCTTTCGTAGTGGGTGATTTTCGTGTGCAAGTTCGGTACTAGTCCCTCTAGGATTTTCCAGGTGTATATATCATTTTATCTCTCCTCCTGCGTTCCAGGGATACAGGTTAGGAACCTCAAGCGCTCCAATAATTGAGGTGTTTTATCTCCGTTATGCGCGCCGTGAAAGTTCTCTGTCATTTTCTAGGTCGGCAATTTCACCTGCCTGAAAGGTGCTGTTAGTGTGCAGCAATATTCCAGCCTAGATAGAACAAGTGCCTGAAGAGTGTCATCATGGGCTTGGCCTCCCTAGTTTTGAAGGTTCTCATTATCCATCCTGTCATTTTTCTAGCAGATGCGATTGATACAATGTTATGGTCCTTGAAGGTGAGATCCTCCGACATGATCACTCCCAGTCTTTGACGTTGGTGTTTCGCTCTATTTTGTGGCCAGATTTGTTTTGTACTCTGATGAAGATTTAATTTCCTCATGTTACTCATATCTGAGTAATTGAAATTTCTCATCGTTGAACTTCATATTGTTTTCTGCGCCCACTGAAAGATTTGGTTGATGTCTGCCTGGAGCTTTGCAGTGTCTGCAATGAAGACACTGTCATGCAGATTCGGGTGTCATCTGCAAAGGAAGACACGGTGCTGTGGCTGACATCCTTGTCTATTCGGATATAAGGATGAGGAACAAGATGGGAGCGAGTACTGTGCCTTGTGGAACAGACTTTTCAAACCGTAGCTGCCTCGGACTTTACTCTGTTGACGACTACTCTCTGTGTTCTGTTAGTGAGGAAATTATAGATCCATCGACCGACTTTTCCTGTAATTCCTTTAGCACGCATTTGTGGCTATTACGCCATGGTCACACTTGTCGAAGCTTTTGCAAAGTCTGATATATTACATCTGCATTTCTTTTGTCTTCTAGTGCATTAGGACCTTGTCGTAGTTGGTCCAATAGTTGAGACAGACAGGAGCGACCTGTTCTAAACCATGTTGCCCTGGGTTGTGTAACTGATGGGTTTCTAGATGCGTGGTGATCTTGCTTCGTAGGACCCTTTCAAAGATTTTATGATATGGGATGTTAGTGCTATTGGTCTGTAGTTCTTTGCTGTTGCTTTACTGCCCCTTTGTGGATGGGGCTATGTCTGTTGTTTTAGTAACGTGGACGACCCCGTGTCCATGCTCCCTCTCCAAAGGATGGAAAAGGCTCGTGATAGGGGCTTCTTGCAGTTCTTGATGAACACAGAGTTCCATGAGTCTGGCCCTGGGGCAGAGTGCATGGGCATGTCATTTATCGCCTGTTCGAAGTCATTTGCGTCAGGATAACATCGGATAGGCTTGTGTTAATCAAATTTTGTGGCTCTCTCATAAAAAATTCATTTGATCTTCAACTCTCAGCTGGTTAAGCGGCTTGCTAAAAACTGAGTCATATGGGACTTGAGTAGCTCACTCATTTCTTGTTGTCATCTGTGTAGGACCCATCTTGTTTAAGTAGGGGCCAATACTGGACGTTGTTCTCGATTTTGATTTGGCATAGGAGAAGAATACTTTGGGTTTCTTTCGATTTCATTTATGGCTTTTAGTTCTTCCTGCGATTCCTGACTCCTAAAGGATTCTTTTAGCTTAAGTTCGATGCTTGCTAATTTCTCTGACCAGTGGTCTCCCTACGCATTTCAGATATATTGACCTCTTTTAGCCGCTCTGTTATTCTTTTCCGTCGCCTGTAAAGGGAGCGCCCGTCTCTTTCTGTTTTACATCTACTCCCCCTTTTTCTTAGAGGAATAAGCCTTGTGCATACATCGAGTGCTACCGAGTTAATCTGTTCTAGGCATAAGTTGGGGTCTGTGTTGCTTAGTATATCTTCCCACTTATATCGGTTAGGACTTGGTTTACTTGGTCCCACTTTATGTTTTTGTTATTGAAGTTGAATTTGGTGAATGCTCCCTCGTGACTAATCTCATTATGTCGGTCTGGGGCCCGCGCATACATGACTGAACCTCAATTATGTTGTGATCTGAGTATATTGTTTTTGATATGGTGATATTTCTTATCAGATCATCATTGTTAGTGAAGATGAGGTCTAGTGTATTCTCCAGTCTAGTAGGCTCTATTATTTGCTGGTTTAAATTGAATTTGTGCAGAGATTTAAAAGCTCGTGTGAGTGTGAGTTTTCATCAGAGCTGCCTCCTGGTGTTATTACTGCAACAATATTATTTGCTATATTCCCTCCATTTTAGGTGCCTTAAGTTGAAATCCCCCAGGAGCAAGATGTTGGGTGCAGGAGCTGGAAGGTTTTCCAGACAGTGGTCAACTTTTAACAGCTGTTCCTGGAATTGCTGGGATGTTGCATCCGGAGGCTTGTAGACTATCACAATGACTAGGTTTTGGTTCTCGACCTTTACTGCTAAAACTTCCACTACATCATTTGAGGCATTTAGCAGTTCTGTGCAAACAAGTGACTCTGCAATGTACAGGCCAACCCCCCCCCTTTTGCCTGTTCACTCTGTCACATCTGTATAGGTTGTAACCTGGGATCCATATTTCGTTGTCCAAGTGGTCCTTTATGTGGGTCTCAGTGAAAGCCGCGAACATTGCCTTTGCCTCTGCAAGCAGTCCACGGATGAAAGGTATTTTGTTGTTTGTTGCTGGCTTTAGACCCTGTATATTTGCAAAGAAGAATGTTATCGGACTGGTGGTATTGTTGGTACTGGGGGGGGATTTTTTTTTCCGGCATTAGTATCTGTATCTGTTGGTTTGGAGTGGAGGCCATCGACTGTGGTTCCACTCCAGGAATGACTGGATTTGGTGTACTGTGTAAGATAGTTTTGTGTAGCATAGTATTGTGTAGTATAGTATTGTGTAGTTTAGTACTGTGTAAGATAGTATTGTGTAGCATAGTATTGTGTAGTATAGTATTGTGTAGTATAGGATTGTGTAGTATAGTATTGTGTAGTTTAGTACTGTGTAAGATAGTATTGTGTAGCATAGTATTGTGTAAGATAGTATTGTGTAGCATAGTATTGTGTAGTATAGTATGTGTAGTATAGTATTGTGTAGTGTAGTACTGTGTAAGATAGTTTTGTGTAGCCCTAGTATTGTGTAGTATAGTATTGTGTAGTTTAGTATTGTGTAGTATAGTATTGTGTAGTATAGTAAATTTTGTAGTAAGCACTGTGTAGTATAGCATTGTGTAGTATAGTAAATTTGTAGTATAGTATTGTGTAGCATAGTATTGTGTAGTACAGTTTTTGTGTAGTATAGTATTGTGTAGTATAGTATTGTGTAGTATAGTATTGTGTTTGTATAGTATTGTGTAGCATAGTATTGTGTAGTATAGTATTGTGTAGTATAGTAATTGTTAGTATAGCACTGTGTAGTATAGCATTGTGTAGTATAGTATTGTGTAGTATAGTATTGTGTAGTATAGCACTGTGTAGTATAGCACTGTGTAGTATAGCATTGTGTAGTATAGCATTGTGTAGTATAGCATTGTGTAGTATAGTATTGTGTAGTATAGCATTGTGTAGTATAGTATTGTGTTAGTATAGTATTGTGTAGTATAGTATTGTGTAGTATAGTATTGTGTAGTATAGCATTGTGTAGTATAGCATTGTGTAGTATAGCATTGTGTAGTATAGCACTGTGTAGTATAGCATCGTGTAGTATAGTATTGTGTAGTATAGTATTGTGTAGTATAGTATTGTGTAGTATAGTATTGTGTAGTATAGTATTGTGTAGTATAGTATTGTGTAGTATAGTATTGTGTAGTATAGTATTGTGTAGTATAGCACTGTGTAGTATAGCATCGTGTAGTATAGTATTGTGTAGTATAGTATTGTGTAGTATAGTTATTGTGTAGTATAGTATTGTGTAGTATAGTATTGTGTAGTATAGTATTGTGTAGTATAGTATTGTGTAGTATAGTATTGTGTAGTATAGTATTGTGTAGTATAGCACTGTGTAGTATAGCATCGTGTAGTATAGTATTGTGTAGTATAGTATTGTGTAGTATAATATTGTGTAGTATAGTATTGTGTAGTATAGCATTGTGTAGTATAGCATCGTGTAGTATAGCATCGTGTAGTATAGTATTGTGTAGTATAGTATTGTGCAGTATAGCATCGTGTAGTATAGTATTGTGTAGCATAGTATTGTGTAGTATAATATTGTGTAATATGGTATTGTGTAGGCCCCTTGTTTTGCAAAGCATTTCGGGCAAATTAAGTCAGTTTTGTCCCAGGATGCGACCCACACCAGTGAGCCTACACCCAGGTACCTGTTCTATTGATAGGTGAACAGAGACACGTCCTAATATTCCCACCCATACCGGGTATCGAACCACGGACCTCAGTGTGTAAGCTTAAGTATATTTAATAGCCGAAATCTCCCGAGGAGCACTTTTCAGTAATTAATAATATACATTGTTTGAAGGGACACCCTGCCTCATTTATCACCATGAGTCGCAATCAGCGAAGAGGTGGGGCCAGGAGCTATGACTCGACCCCTGCAACCACAAATAGGTGAGTAAATAGGTGAGTATTTTTGGGATAGTATCATTCTTGTTACATCCGTATTACGGCTTTGTATGACCCACTCGGGTTTAGTACATAGATAATATTTTGTTGGCAACAATTAATGATCTGATCAGGTAGAACTGGTCACAGTCATGAACAGGTTACAAAGGTAATGAATCATTTACACGTCTATTCATGGTTAGGCAATTCTTTTTATATTCATTTTCATTTATTTCCTGTATAAGATATAATAATATGTATCTGGATTTAATATCTACAAGGCCAAATAATGTTGTTTCCGTCGTACTCTTACATAGTCTCGTTTTACTGCCTAAAAATTGGTGGCAAAATCTAATCTAACTGATAATTATTATAATATAGTGAGTTGTGAGAGGCAGTGTTGGTCCAGCGGCCCCTCAGAGTCTAGTCGCTGGAACAACCAGTGGTCCCTCAGAACCTGCTCAGGGATCGTGGACCAACCAGCGGTCCCTCAGAGCCTAGTCAGAGACCGTTGAACCAACCAACTGTCCCTCAGAGTCTAGTCAGGGACCGCTGAAATAACCAGCGGTCCCTCAGAGTCTAGTCAGGGACCGCTGAAATAACCAGCGGTCCCCCAGAGTCTAGTCAGGGACCGCTGAAATAACCAGCGGTCCCTCAGAGCCTGGTCAGCGACCGCTGGACCAACCAGCGATCCCTCAGAGCCTAGTCAGCGACCGCTGGACCAACACTATTTACTTCATTACGTGTCCACAAGGCTGGGAAGAAGAAACCCTGAACAAGTAAATAAACCAGTAGACTTCGGGGTGCACTTACAACACATTTTTTGGGGGTGACTTATAATTGTCTTGGGTAGTAAGATGCTGTGTAAATTTATCCAGGTTGTCCAGTAACCCAGGATAACCCAAGAAAGTCACAGGACTGTCTTGTCTTATTGTTGTCTTTATTAATCTTGTCTCCCAGGATGACTCACACCAGTCGACTAACACCAGGTACCTACTTACTGTTAGGTGAACAGGGACAGCAGGTGTAAGGAAACATGACCAATGTTTCCACCCAGCTGGGGATCGAACCACAGACACTCAGTGAGGCGAGAGGCAGGTGTTAAGAGACTTGTTTGTCTGAGTCAGGGTTGGACCTGAGTACTTTTATTGGTGAGGGAATTGTCACTGTGTTAGGTACCATAGTGAGGCAGCACCACTGTGCTGGGGAGTACCATAGTGAGGCAGCACCACTGTCCTGGGGAGTACCATAGTGAGGCAGCACCACTGTGCTGGGGAGTACCATAATGAGGCAGCACCACTGTGCTGGGGAGTACCATAGTGAGGCAGCACCACTGCTGGGGAGTACCATAGTGAGGCAGCACCACTCTGCTGGGGAGTACCATAGTGAGGCAGTCGCACTGTGCTGGGGAGTACCATAATGAGGCAGTACCACTGTGCTGGGGAGTACCATAGTGAGGGAGCACCACTCTGCTGGGGAGTACCATGGTGAGACAGGACCACTGTGCTGGGGAATACCATAGTGAGGCAGCACCACTGTGCTGGGGAGTACCATGGTGAGGCAGCACCACTGTGCTGGGGAGTACCATAGTGAGGCAGCACCACTGTGCTGGGGAGTACCATGGTGAGGCAGGACCACTGTGCTGGGGAGTACCATAGTGAGGGAGCACCACTGTGCTGGGGAGTACCATAGTGAGGCAGCACCACTGTGCTGGGGAGTACCATAGTGAGGCAGCACCACTGTGCTGGGGAGTACCATGGTGAGACAGGACCACTGTGCTGGGGAATACCATAGTGAGGCAGCACCACTGTGCTGGGGAGTACCATAGTGAGGCAGCACCACTGTGCTGGGGAGTACCATAGTGAGGCAGTCGCACTGTGCTGGGGAGTACCATAATGAGGCAGCACCACTCTGCTGGGGAGTACCATAGTGAGGGAGCACCACTGTGCTGGGGAGTACCATAGTGAGGCAGCACCACTGTGCTGGGGAGTACCATAGTGAGGCAGCACCACTGTGCTGGGGAGTACCATGGTGAGACAGGACCACTGTGCTGGGGAATACCATAGTGAGGCAGCACCACTGTGCTGGGGAGTACCATAGTGAGGCAGCACCACTGTGCTGGGGAGTACCATAGTGAGGCAGCACCACTGTGCTGGGGAGTACCATAATGAGGCAGCACCACTCTGCTGGGGAGTACCATAGTGAGGCAGCACCACTCTGCTGGGGAGTACCATAGTGAGGCAGTCCCACTGTGCTGGGGAGTACCATAGTGAGGGAGGACCACTGTGCTGGGGAGTACCATAGTGAGGCAGTCCCACTGTGCTGGGGAGTACCATAGTGAGGGAGGACCACTGTGCTGGGGAGTACCATAGTGAGGCAGTCCCACTGTGCTGGGGAGTACCATAGTGAGGCAGGACCATTGTGTTGGGGAGTACCATAGTGAGGCAGTGCCACTCTGCTGGGGAGTACCATGGTGAGGCAGGACCACTGTGCTGGGGAGTACAATAGTGAGGCAGCACCACTGTGCTGGGGAGTACCATAGTGAGGCAGCACCACTGTGCTGGGGAGTACCATAGTGAGGCAGCACCACTGTGCTGGGGAGTACCATAGTGAGGCAGCACCACTGTGCTGGGGAGTACCATAGTGAGGCAGGACCACTGTGCTGGGGAGTACCATAGTGAGGCAATGCCACTGTGCTAGGGAGTACCATAGTAAGGCAGTGCCACTGTGCTGGGGAGTACCATAGTAAGGCAGTGCCACTGTGCTAGGGAATACCATAGTGAGGCAGCGCCACTGTGCTAGGGAGTACCATAGTGAGGCAGCACCACTGTGCTGGGGAGTACCGTAGTGAGGCAGCACCACTCTGCTGGGGAGTACCATAGTGAGGCAGGACCACTGTGCTGGGGAGTACCATAGTGAGGCAATGCCACTGTGCTAGGGAGTACCATAGTGAGGCAGCATCACTGTGCTGGGGAGTACCATAGTGAGGCAGCACCACTGTGCTGGGGAGTACCATAATGAGGCAGCACCACTGTGTTAGGGAGTACCATAGTGAGGCAGCACCACTGTGTTAGGGAGTACCATAGTGAGGCCACACCACTGTGCTAGGGAGTACCATAGTGAGGCAGCACCACTGTGCTAGTGAGTACCATAATGAGGCAGTGCCATTGTGCTGGGGAGTACCATAGTGAGGCTGCACCACTGTGCTAGGGAGTACCATAGTGAGTCAGCACCACTGTGCTAGGGAGTACCCACGTGAGGCAACACCACTGTGCTGGGGAGTACCATAGTGAGGCAGCACCACTGTGCTAGGGAGTACCATAGTGAGGCAGTGCCACAGTGCTGGGGAGTACCATAGTGAGGCAGCACCACTGTGTTAGGGAGTACCATAGTGAGGCAACACCACTGTGCTGGGGAGTACCATAGTGAGGCAGCACCACTGTGTTAGGGAGTACCGTAGTGAGGCAGCATCACTGTGCTAGGGAGTACCATAGTGAGGCAGCATCACACTGTTAGGGAGTACCATAGTGAGGCAGGACCATTGTGCTAGGGAGTACCATAGTGAGGCAGCACCACTGTGCTTGGGACTACCATAGTGAGGCAGCACCACTGTGTTAGGGAGTACCATAGTGAGGCAGCACCACTGTGTTAGGGAGTACCATAGTGAGGCAGCACCACTGTGTTAGGGAGTACCATAGTGAGGCAGTGCCACTGTGCTTGTGGGTACCATAGTGAGGCAGTCCCACTGTGCTAGGGAGTACCGTAGTGAGGCAGTGCTACTGAACACACAGCAGAGTCTTTACTGTTTTGAAATTCTTTAATGCTACTCTAGGCAGTCCACCAAGTGACCAGAGCCTACAGGTTGGCTGAATGGTTACCTGTGTTACAGGTTTACATGTGTACTCACCTAATTGTACTCACCTACTTGTGGTTGCAGGGGTCGAGACTCAGCTCCTGGCCCTGCCTCTTCACTGATCGCTACTCGGTCCTCTCTCTCTGCTTCCTGAGCTTTCTCATACCTCATCTTAAAGCTATGTATGGCTCCTGCCTCCACTACATCACTTGCTAGGCTGTTCCACTTCCTGACAACTCTATGACTGAACCCCTCAAGGGAGGTTCCTTGACGCTGGTGAGGGGCTTTTGATCTAGGGAATTGGATTTGTGCTCCAGTTCCCTGAATTGAGCCTGAATACCTTCTATTCCCCCCCACATGCGCTGTATAATCCTACGGGTTTAGCGCTCCCCCATGATTATAATAATCTATGACTGAAGAAATACTTCCTAACATCCCTGTGACTTGTCTGAGTCTTCAGCTTCCAATTGTGACCCCTTGTTTCTGTGTCCCCTCTCTGGAACATCCTGTCTCTGTCCACTGTATCTATTCCATGCATTATTTTGTATGTCATTATCATGTCTCCCCTGACCCTCCTGTCCTCCAGTGTCGTCAGTCCGATTTCCCTCAACCTTTCTTCGTAGGACATTCCTCTGAGCTCTAGAGATAGCCTTGTTGCAAACCTTTGTACTTTCTCTAATTTCTTGATGTGCTTGACCAGGTGTGGATTCCAAACTGATGCTGCATACTCCAGTATGGGCCTGACATACACAGTGTACAGTGTCTTGAACGATTCCTTACTAAGGTATCAGAACACTATTCTCAGGTTTGCCAGGTGCCCATATGCTGCAGCAGTTATCTGGTTGATGTGTCTTCGGAGATGTGCTCGGTGTTATGGTCACCCCAAGATCTTTCGCCTTGAGTGAGGTTTACAGTCTTTGACCACCTAGCCTATACTCTGTCTGCAGTCTTCTTTGCCCTTCCCCAATTTTCATGACTCTGCATTTGGCAGGGTTGAATTCGAGAAGCCAGTTGCTGGACCATGTGTCCTGCCTATCCAGGTCTCTTTGTAGTCCTGCCTGATCCTCATCTGTTTTAATTCTTTTCATTAACTTCACATCATCTGCGAACGGACACTTCAGAGTCGCTCCCTTCCATTGTGTCATTCACATATATCGAAAATAGCACTGGTCCTAGGACTGACCCCTGTGGGACCCCGCTCGTCACAGGCACCCACTGTGTCTAGTCACCTGTGGTACAGGTCAGCTGAGTAGTCACCTGTGCTACAGGTTTGCTGAGTGGTCACCTGAGCTATAGGTCAACCAAATGTTTGATCACTTGAGCTACAGGTCAGCTGAGCAACTAGTCAACTAGTCTGGTGAGTGACTGGTCACCTGTGCTTCAAGTCTGGTGAGTGACTGGTCACCTGCACTACAGGTCATGTGAATCTTGTCACTACTATAGGTCAGCTGAGTGTCTAGTCACCCTTATTACAGGTGAATTGAGTTTCTGGTACCTTTGCTACAGGTCACCTCAGCATTTGGTCATTTGCACATTCAGTCTTCTTCAGACAACTGAAGAGGCCCTCAGTTGAAAGCTGAAATATACAAACAGCTTCTATTTTGTGGTTCTGTCTTCATGTAGTTACGTTTCTCACATCACTATTTTCATTGCTCTTTTCTCGTATGACATCAATACCCATAGTAATGCTGCCGCTACATCACTTTTTATCTTTGCATTCCTGAAGTAACCTAATGTGCAGATGACCAAACACAGAGTTGGCTTACACTGCACTAGGCTTGATGGTAATGATGTTGGTAGAATTACTAACAGTATGTTAAGTAAAAGCACAAATATGAACCTAATAAGACATTTTATTGTGGTATTTGTAATGTTTCAGCAGTTGCACATGTTTTCTTTTACTTAACAGGTGGGTTGGTATACCAGTGCTCTTATATAACCAGTGTTTTCTCTTTCCTGTACCAGTTATACAGGACCTCAGTTATAGGTTAAAATAAGAGGGCAGTAGTTATAGTGGGAAAAGTAGGCAACTGAATATTCAACCTTTTGACAGGTAGAATACAAAGAGTAGGAGTAAAGAAAGCAAAAGCCAGCATTAGTAAGTAAAAAGCTCAGTATCCCAAGGCATGGCCCTGGTGCTTTTACTGTTTCTCAACCTCATAGCATAACACTTGCCACAGCTGCATATTGTTTGTGGGCAATACCAAAATATGCATAAAAATCTGCTAGGTAGAGGACATCAAAAAATTGCAATAGATATATGTAAGTGAAATCTTTCAGTGGGCAAGTAGACATTAACAAAACTATCAGCTCGTAACTCAGAGATATGGAAGAAAATGCAAAATAAGATTTCATGAAAAACAGAGGTGTTATGGGCACAATAAAAGAACATTGTGTTAACATCTGTGGGCCCAGAATTTTTAACATCTAACTAGAAGATATCAGAGACACTGCCAGAACAAGTATAGAGGTTTTCAAGAGGAAACTACAAGTTCCTCGTCCAAGTGCCAGATCAATAAGGCTTGTGATGGATATGTGGGCTTGTGGGCTGCCAGCATCAACAACCTGCTTGATCAGGCAAACACCAGACAAGCCTGGCCCAAGGCCAATCTGCAAGAGTAGGAATATTCTCAAAACCAGTCAAAGGTGTATCAAAGGTACCACTATACTATTGTGCATTTCTCTTTTTGTTTCCACATATAAACTTCTTTACACAGATGTCTCAATATGCCACCTACCTTTCAATTATTCTGTGGTTTGCCTTGTCTTTCATGGACTCATTCACCAACATGTCCACTTTCAAGTACATATCTAAATTCATTCACTTTCTCCATACCTTCTTCCTCCAATCTGATGTCCAATCTTTCATTGTCTAAACCTTGCTGAAACTTTTCTGTATTTGAAATTAAACTACATAAATTTAGCTTAATATTAATTAATCTAAATTTACATTAATTGACCTAACCCAACCAGTCCTAAGTTAAAATACCTTAAATTAATCTAGAGGAGGAGCAGAACTCGTTTTTATGGCATCCAAATAAAACAGGTAGAAATATAAGGTTGTTAGAGCGTGCAGAAATACGGACATGAAAATGCATTAGAAAACAAACTGTGCCACATTATCAAGGTGGGTAGTTTGCTGAGAATGAAAGTAAAACCTGCATATTCTTCATTATACATTGTTGACTATAGGAACAGGGAAGTGTCTTTGTTTACTAAGCTCTTTTGTGTATGAACATATGTATACTGTGTACAGTATATATTTTGAGAATTTGATAAATCACATGTATAATTGTGTAATCTTTGCTAAAAAAAAAGATGTAGAGCATGGGCCAGTAGGCCTTCTGCAGTGTTCCTTCGTTCTTATGTTCTTATGTTCTTATGAATGTCACTTACTGAATTTTTCTAATTGTGCTTTCCACTAATGTGAAGTTTTGCTTTTCAGGTCTGGCACCTTATATATCAAGATGAGTCTTGGTAAGTACATGCTACTTCTCAGGGTCCCACTGTTCTGTTGAGTCTTCTCTTGTTTTTCACTTTTTCTAAGCATAATATATAGTATACGTATTGTTATTGCTTGTTGGCAAGAATAATTTCATTATAATACTCAAAATTAATTGCTCAGTTTATCATTAATTACACTTTGTTTGAAAGCCAATTTTGATGCACAAATTTTTTTGTGGCCTCCAGATTGTTATTAATTGCATTTTATAGCAAGCTAGCAAAATAAGTCTACCACTGTATATACAGTATTTTTTAAAGGATTTTATCTCTGATAATTGTTAAGATTTTCTCTTAGAATATGATATGGTATCTCTTATCCTGTTGATAAACATTCCTGCAGGACATCTGCAGAGTAAAAATGTTTAAAACTTTACATATTAACTCTTAACCCTTTGACTGTTTTGGGATATGACTGCTGAGTGTAATATTCAGGGATTTAAGTTGTTCAATGTGGATAGATGTAATGGGAAGGGGGTAGGAGTTGCATTATATGTTCGAGAAAATATTAATTGTTGCATAAAAACAGGTATAAAAATAGATGGAGCAGTAACAGAATCTGTTTGGGTAGAGTTTGTAGAGGGTCAAGAAAAACTAATTCTAGGTGTAATATACCGACCTCCAGGCTTGGATCACGATAGAGGGAGACTTCTTTGGGACGAAATTGTTAGGGCTTCTAGACACAATAACATAGTCATAGTCGGGGACTTTAATTTAGGTCAAATTGACTGGAATTCTTTGACAGGTAATCTAGAGTCCAGTGACTTTATGGAAACAGTTCAGGACTGTTTTCTGAAGCAGTGCGTAACGGAGCCTACCAGGGGTAATAATTTGCTAGACCTAGTCTTGTCAAATAAAGAAACACTCGTAAATAATTTGGAGATCACGAAGAGCTTGGCACAAGTGATCACAAATCCATCACTTTTAGCATTAACTGGGAATGCAAGAATAATGATAATACAGTAAAAATCCCTGATTTTCGTTCTGCCGATTATAATGGACTTAGGGAACACCTGTCTAATCTTGATTGGGGTTATCTAGCTAATGATTTTATTGACGATGATCATACTTATGATTATGAAGGGATCTGCTTTTATGATTGTTTTCTTAATAATGTACACCATGCCCAGAGTATATACATTCCCCAGAGAGAAATTAGGTCTAATAATAACGATCCCAAATGGGTTAACAGTAGGTTGAAGCATCTATTAGGGGAGAAAAGGGGAATTTATAGGCGCATCAGAAGAGGAGAGGTTAATCTTACTGACCAATATGTTCAGCTTAAAAGAGAAGTAAAAAAGGGGATTAGAAAGGCTAAACGTGACTATGAAATTAGAGTTGCTAATGAATCAAAGACTAATCCAAAGGGGTTCTTTCAAGTGTATAGGACGAAGGTGAAGGAAAAAGTAGGACCTCTGAAAATTGGGAATGGACAGCTGACGGATAATGAACTGGAAATGTGTTCCCTATTTAATGACTATTTTTTGTCAGTTTTTTAACACAGGAAGATGTAAATGAGATTCCAGTAATTAACAATTATTTAGTTCCTGATGAATTTAAGTTAACTAATATTACTGTCACGAGGGACATGGTTATTAAACAGATAGACAAACTGAAGCAAAATAAGTCCCCGGGACCTGATGAGCTGTTTTCCAGGGTACTTAAGGAATGCAAGATGGAGCTTAGTCAGCCATTAACGAGTGTATTCAATGCGTCCATCCTTACCGGTGTTGTGCCAGAGTTGTGGAAGATGGCTAATGTGGTTCCTGTATTCAAATCAGGGGATAAATCCACTCCTTCAAATTACCGTCCAATAAGCCTGACATCTATAGCGGGCAAGTTGTTAGAATCAATTATAGCTGATATTATCAGAAGTCACCTTGAAGAGCATAACTTGATAAATGAATCTCAGCATGGATTCACTAGAGGTCGTTCCTGCCTGACAAACTTACTGACGTTCTTCAATAGAACATTTGAGGCAGTTGACAGTGATAAGGAATATGATATTGTTTATTTGGATTTTAGTAAAGCCTTCGATAGAGTACCTCACAAGAGACTCTTAAGAAAAGTGGCAGCTCATGGTATAGGAGGTAAAGTTCTAGCATGGATTGAGGCATGGCTTACCAATAGAAAGCAGAGAGTTACCATTAATGGAGTGAAATCTGAATGGGGATTAGTCACTAGTGGCATTCCACAAGGATCAGTTTTAGGCCCTCTCTTGTTCATAATTTACATTAATGACCTTGATGAAGGGATTACGAGTGACATGAGTAAGTTTGCTGATGATACAAAGATAGGCCGTATAATTTACTCTGAGGAGGATATCAATGAACTCCAGGACGATTTGGACAAATTAATGTCTTGGTCTGAAAAATGGCAGATGAAGTTCAATGTGGATAAGTGTAAGGTAGTTGCCCTTGGTAACGAAAATAACCATCGAAGCTATAATCTAGGTGAAGTAGAGCTTGATCGTACAGAATGTGAAAAAGACTTAGGAGTCATAAGTAAGTAAGTAAGTAAGTAAGTAAATTTATTCAGGTATACACAAATACAGTTACATAGAATTATCATACATAGCAGCATATGTGTAGAGAACCTAGGATAACCCAAAAAAGTCAGACAGAGTGACTTATTTCCATTGGGGTAAGCAGAAATCTAAAGCCAAGACAGCAGTGCCTTAGTGTGCACAACAAGGCCAACAGATTACTTGGATTTATCTCAAGAAGTATAAGTAACAGAAGTCCAAAAGTTATTTTGCAACTCTACACATCACTGGTGAGGCCTCATTTGGATTACGCTGCTCAGTTTTGGTCCCCTTACTACAGGATGGATATAGACTTGTTAGAGAACATACAGAGAAGAATGACTAAAATGATTTACTGTGTAAGGAACCTCCCGTATGAAGATAGACTTAAAGCCTTAAATCTGCACTCTATGGAGAGGCGTAGAATGAGGGGAGATATCATTGAAGTGTATAAGTGGATGACGGGCATAAACAAGGGAGATATTAATAAAGTACTCAGGGTGTCAAACCAGGTAAGAACCAGGAATAATGGATTTAAGTTGGATAAATTTAGATTTAGAAAGGATATAGGTAAGTACTGGTTTTCTAACAGAGTTGTAGATGCGTGGAACAGTCTTCCCAGTGGGGTGATAGAGGCTAGGACCTTGGGTAGCTTTAAGAAGAGACTGGACAAATATATGAGTGGGAGGGGATGGGTTTGATTGGTGTCATTGGGTACGGGAGTTATTTCTTGGGTAGCTTCAGGTAGAGGTCGTTTTGATAAGGACCTGCCTCGCATGGGCCAGTAGGCCTTCTGCAGTGTTCCTCCATTGTTATGTTCTTATGTTCTTATACGTCTTACGAGCCAGTGTTTCGGACGTGTATATACTCAATAACTCTAGCGGCTTCAAATCAAGCAGGAGAAAGCTGGTAGGCCCACATGTGAGAGAATAAGTCTGTGTGGTCAGTGTGCACCACATAAAAAAAATCCTGCAGCATGCAGTGCATAATGAGAAAAAAAAACTGACCGTTTTTTTGGATTAAAACGCTGACTTTGAGGTGTATTTTCATATAGTATTTATCGTTGTATTCTCGTTTTCATGGTCTCACATGATAAAATGGAAAACATATTACAGAAATAGAGATGATTTTGATTAGTTTCACGATGAAAATGACCTTGAAATTGAGCTCAAAGTAGCGGAAATGTTCGATTTTTACCAATGTTCAAGAGTAGGCAAATCACACCACACATCCAATACTCATCAACTGGAGAGTGTAATATTCTTTCACTAGTGCACTGATATTATTTATACCATTTTTACAGTAATGCAGCAGTGTGCATAACAGTAAATTTTGTATTTTTTGTATGAATAAAAAATCAAAATAGAAAGCAATAGTAATAAAAGAGGGGCCTAGAGACGTGACTAATGAACAGAGGATATGTTATTTTTAGTACCAAGAATGTCTACATTGTTTATTCTAGACCCTATTTTGAAACTGGCATTTTTTTTAATTTGTGTGAAATTGGCCAAATTGCCAATTTCTGACCACTTTATTGGGTAGTTCAAATCGGTAAATGGGCGGTTTCTTGTACTCATCTGATAGAAAAAATGGAGTTCTAAAGAAATAGCTATGAGTTTGGGCAACTGGAACAACGGAATTGGCCAAAATCAGGGCTCGAAGTCAGCAAAATTGGCGATGTGTATGTGTCGCCGAGACCGCTAACTTCGCGGGAGCGTAATTCCATGAGTTTTCGACCAAATTTCATTCTTTTGGTGTCATTACCATCGGGAAAAGATTCTCTATCATTTTATAAGAATTTTTTTTTTTTTTCCAAAAAATTTTGCAACTTAGAATGACAGTTTCAGAAAGGGGCTTGCGACAGTCAAAGGGTTAATTGAACTGCCATTAATCCTTTCCAGTGGAATTCCTGCTCTCAGAAGGCAGGACAAAATACAGTACTTCAATATAACGCTAATATCAACTCTATGGCTTATTTATCTATCACAATTGATCTAATATGACATAATAAACAATATAAATAACATAGAAACATGATATATACTCTAGAATGAATAAATATGTCATTATGTGAGGAGTGGTGGCAGCCATTCCCACTCCCACTCTGACCATATCTTCCCATTCTTTCCCTTCTGAAAACAGTGTTTATGAGGCTAACTGCACTAGATCACTAGTTTCATAAGGAAAACTCTGAAACAATATACGGATTTATAAATAAGAATATTGTATAAAAACATAATAGAGAATGTATAGAAATAAACTGGTTTTATAAAGTATAAGTATTTACCTTGGAGAACATGCTGGTGGAGATCAAGGGGTGGAGGTGGAGGGTGGAAAAGATAGGCTACTTGCTACACTTTATCGATGAATTTAATTGCTACACTCTTAACCCCTTAACTGCCCTAATGTAGATCTACGTTCTTACCACTAGCGCTCCAAACATAGATCTACG